TTCTGTACCTAAATTTGAACTCTTAAAATAGACTCTAGACTCCAAGAAGTGATTTTAAAGCATTGACTTCCAATTAGGAAATGAAAGTTGATCAGTTATCCTAAAAATATTTATTGTCTTATAAGAAAAGAACAAAAAAAAACAAAAACAAAACAAAAAATCAGTTTGTTTGTTTTTTAGTTTTTTTTTTACCTTAAAGGAATTGTCTAGTCATTTTTGAAGAGCTGTTCAGTGAAATACTTAGAAATAGTTTGCACTTTAACACTAATCAAAAACGAGAGAGGAGAGGCAAAAAGGTCTTTATTCAGGCTAGGCTAATGGCTAGCCAAAAAGTGCCATTTTTATTGTTTTTCAGACTTATAAAGCAATTCTTTCTTAAACACAACACACCAATGTAAAAGAAAACCCAAACCCCGCTACATTGGAACCTCTAAACCACGTGTCAAACTCAAGGCCCGTGGGCCAAATTTGGTCTTCATTAACATTTTTTTCTGGCCTCAAAAGGTAATGCTTCAAATGTAAAATATTTTAATGGTTTCTCATTTTGTCACTGTATTTAGTGCATTCTTCATATGACAGCTGACCAACTTTCAAGCCATGAAAACAAAGTTAGAACTTTTCAGTAATCATTGATTTTAGTGTGGAAAGAGCAACAGAATTTTCTTTAATTATCTTTTCCTGTATTCTCTTCTTATTTTAAAGTCAAATCATTGGTTTTTTTAGTGAGGATTTTCTTTTTCAATTGATTTGCAGGATTTTGATAAAATGCATCTCTGATATATAATAAATCAAAAGAAAATGGTTGAGTAAAGCATAAATATGATTGCTAAAGACTTGTCTTTATAAATCAAATCTTTTTTAATCTCTTAGTTTATACATGTTATAAACTATACATGTAGTATGATTTGGAAAAGGTATTTCTATAAGAGTAATTTGCTATATAACATTTCTTTTAAATATCTTTTAAATAAATGTTGACAGAGATTGGCCCTTGGCTTATGGTGCGTTCCGTTTACATCATATTCCAGACGGTAGTGACATCATTTCCCAACAAACCATATGAAACTGCATTCCAGTTAGCCCACAGGCGATCGTATTGCTGCCGCTAACCTAGCTACAACACTGTTACAGTATAAACAATGACAAAAAGAGAGCTCTACAACATACGCCATGCAAATAAACATTGGTTTTACTACGTACACTATGCGCAAAAAACAACATGCACAAAACATTAAGAACAATAATTAACAGTAAAAGTTATGGAGKTAACTTTCTAAAGCTGCRAGTAGCTGCCAACTTAAAATCGAAACTGTGGGAAGCCGCAGTCACTCCCACTATACGAATGGGATTTATCACTGGAGTTCCAGTTTAAATTTACGAATGGGAGCAAGGAAATTTCCACTTCCCARTGCTACAGGAACACACCATTAGATAGATCATGTTTTGAATTTTGTCCCCCTTGTCCCAGTTTTATCTAACAGGCAACATTCATGTTTATTATAAGGCACGGTTGTGTTCCTCCACATTGGTATGTTGTTTTTGAGAAAGAGTTGCTTCATTAGCCTGAAAAACAATAAAGAAATTTTTCACTTGTTTGACTAGCGTTTAGCGCAGCCTGGAGGTTAACTTCTGCCCTTTGTTCCATACTTTGTGCTCTATGACTGATGTCAAAACTGATAAGGTACTAACTTTTGTTAACTATTTGACAGAACATCCCTTCAGAAATGACAACTTACCCTTTAAGGTAGACTTCAATCTTGCTTTAAAGCAGAGAAGAGGAAGGCCTTACTTTGCAGTGATCACTAGTGTCTGCTTGGCTTTGTCTCAGATTTGGTGTTGGGATGGATTTTGGAAGAAAGGGAGGTGGAAAGAAATAAAACAAGAAATGGCAGAGCRGAGGTCAAAAGTCAGTTTATTCATGCAAGGCACAAAATGCCAATGAGTCTGACACCATGCCTCTGCAGCTCTACGATGACGTTCATTTTAACATTTAACAGGCAGACAGTGATGTTGACAGTGAACAAGCCTGTGCTGAGAGGCAGATATAGAAACGAAGCTGTGGAGTAGAGAGGGTGGGTTGACCTCTTTATTTTTTCTAATGATGTCATTCACCTGCTCTTTTTRCAGACTGTCCCTGGCTTCACTCCGTTCCTGTGGGACCACCGGCACAACCACAGTAGCTGATTGACAACACCAAACAGCCCGCCAGACCACTGCATTTTTATTTTATTTTTTTCCTATTGGCTGGCTGCCAGAGCTTCCCCCATCCTGATTGGCTGTGGTGGGAGCGTGGATGGAGCCAAGGGATCTGGTTGGCTCAGCCCGACCCAAAGAGGCGGACCTTCAGGGTGGTAGGGCAGGGCCAAAGGCGGAGCACCAATTAGCAGCAGGAGGGATCGAGTTGGTGCATGGTGACGATGCGATCAACGGCGCTGTCAGTGAGGGGGAGGGGCTAGAGGAGCAGGGGGAGGGACTTATGGAGGAGCAGGAGTTCTCCATCAAGGAAGCAAGTTTCCAAGAAGGAAGTCTAAAGTTGAAGATACAGACCACCAAACGCACCAAGAAGCCCCCCAAGAGCCTTGAGAACTATATTTGCCCTCCAGAGGTCAGGATGACCATTAGACCTCCGACCGGAGAAGCCAAAGGGGGGCGACAAGGGCGAACGGGAGGCGGGACAGGAACAGGGCGGGGCTCAAAGGACGAAGAACGAGGTCCCCCCAGGAAAAGGGTAAGTCGCCATTCCTCTTATGCACTTTGAGAGTAATAAGATGTCAAGAACAATGTCTTTTCTAAGTCTGACTTATAGAAAACCTCATCTCGCCTATCTCAACATCTCTTCCGTCCCCCCAGCTTAGTTTACAAGTAGTCAAAGTTTGCTCTGTAATTGAAACCACTCTAACTGAGATCACACAGCGGCACACACACACACACACACACACACACACACACACACACACACACACACACACACACA